TTGGGAGCGGGGGCAGCATCCACCTGGGGGAGCCCGAAGGTGGGGAAGAGCCTCCCCAGGGTGGGGGTCACAGCTAGGGGGGCCGGATTGGTGGGGCTGCTCACCCTTGGCCTCCAGTTCCTGCTTCTTCTTGCGGCCCCAGGTGTTGTGGTAGTTCTCAGCTAGCTGCTCCGCCATGGCCTGGGGGACACGGCGAGATGGGTGGGGGGTCCCACCGCAGGGGTCCCACACCAGTGCCATGGGGGACACGATAGGGACATAGACGCGCTCACCTGCAGCTCCCGGGACAGTGTCACCCCTGAGAGGTCCACGGGCTGGGGGCTGTAGCCGTGGCTGGGGGGGGAGGTGGCCTGGAGAGGGGAACGTCCCAGCATTGAGCACCCAACCCCGAGCCAGAGGAACTCAGGTGTCCCCAAGGGGACCCTGCTGCACCCCATAGACCCCACTGGCCCACCAGGCATCCAGGCTTCCTCTTTTCCACCTCATAGATCCCTCTACCCACCCTCCAGTGGACCCAGGCGTCCAGGATGCCCCTGCTCCACCCTGCAGACCCCCAATGCACCCCAGGGGATCCATCCTCTCCCTACTCCACCACCCATCCCCTCCCCAGAGCTCAGGGGGACCCAGGCATCCGAGCGCCACCTGGGCAGACTGGGAGATCTTGCGGGTCTTCTTCTTCTCTGCCTTGTCCTCCTCGCCCTCGCGGGCTTTCTCCCCCATCCACTCCCAGGCTAGCATGGCCTTCAGCGACTCCTTGATGGGCCACCGGTAGATCTCCTTGTCCTGGGGAGAGCACAGGCGGGGGTCAGGGGGGCCTGCTCTTGGAGCACCCTGAGGTGTTCCCCATCATGGCCCCATAGCCAGGTATGGTCAAGTGTGGAGAGTCCAGATGGGGCCAGGCAACCAGATGGGGTTGGAAGGTTCTGCATGGGGTCAGGAAGCCCCAAACAGAGTTGGAGGATCAGGATAGGATTGAGAGAACTGGAGGGGGCTGGGGGGGTCTTGATGGAGCTGGGGGTCCAGACAGGACCAAGAAGCCAGATAGGGTTGTGGGGTCCAGATGGTGTTGGGGGGCCTTGATAGGATTGGGGAGGTCTGGATGGGGCCAGTGGGGTGTAGATGGGGTTGAGAGGGGTCAGGATTGAGTCAGAGGAGACATGTGGGGTTGGAGGATCTGGATGGGGTTGAAGGGGTCCAGGTGGGGTCAGGGGCTGGATGGAGCTGGGGAGGGGAGTCCAGCCAGGGCCGGGGGTCCCAGCCTGGCCCTGGGG